GCATGGTCGGGGCATTGGTATTTGGTGTATATATATATATCTATAGATATATATATATATTTTTTTTGGGGGGGTACTGGGATTGAACTTGGGTCCTTGCGCTTTCAAGGCAGGCCACCGAACCGCCAAGCTAAATCCCCGGCCCCAAATATATATTTATGATTGTCATCTCTTCCTCTTGAATTGTTCCCTTTACAATGATGTAGCAATCTTTGTCTCTCTTAATTAATTTTGGTTTGAAATTTACTTTGTCTGCAAATAAGTAGCTACCCCCTGCTCTTTTCCAGGTTCCTGTCTCATGGAGAACTGTTTTCCATCCTTTTACTTTTAGTCTATAAGTTTTTTTTTAAACTAGGTGAGTTCCTTGTGTAGCACATATGGTTGGATTTTGTTTCTTAATCCATTCTGCCACCCTATTTCTTTTGATTGGTGAATTGAGGTGATTAACATTGATGGTTAAAACTCATATGTACTGACTTATCATCATCATGTTATTTTCCTGTTGTTGGCTTTTTTTGATGCCCCCCCATAATTTCTTGCCTTGCCTGATGGATTTTCTCTGTTGGACCTCATGGAGTTGTGACCTTCATTGTGTTTTTCTAGGATATTGTTTACAATTGTTTGGAGTGCTGGTTTGATATTTATGAAGTTTCTCAGGTGTTCTTTGTCATAGAAGTATCTTATTTCCCCTTTAATTTTGAAAGATAGTTTTGCAGGATATATCAGTGTAGGTTGGAGGTTGTTTTCTTTGAAGGCTCAAAATACCTCACTCCAGGCTCTCCTAGACTTGAGGGTTTGTATTGAAAAGTCTGCTGTGATTCTGATGGGCCTTCCTTTGCATTTGACTTGTTTCTTTTCTCTAACTGCTTATAGTATTTTGTTCTGTTGGGTTTCCAAGATCTTGACTATTATATGTCTAGGTGTAGATTTTTTTGGCTCATGACTAATTGGAGTCCTATATGCCTCACTTATCTGTATGTCATCCCTCTTTGATGAAATATTTACAATTTCTTTGAAATAAAAAAATTACAGTGCTGGGTATTTAGCTCAGTGGTTCTGCCGCCTGCCTCGAAAACAAAAACCAATGTATCCTCATCCACATTATTCATTACATCTGGCACCTCGACTTCTGGCTTGTCATGTGATCACATCCTGGTACTGAATGCCTTGGAATACACTTTCTAGTTCCTGTATTTTCCACTTGGCATCAGAAGGCTTTTGCTCAGCCTGCAGCAGCTGCTGGGGCTCCTGATCACCTCGATACACCAGAAGGTCAGTGTTACTGCTCTGGTTCACACGGACCTCTTGGGTCAGCTTGTGGTCATCATCATGGTCCAGGTGGCCCTCATGGCACTTGTAGGGCCCAAGGAGGCTGAGAGCCACCCTGGGCTGCTGCTTCGGAGACACCTGGTACATGTCAGGCATTGGCAAGTAGTGGGGTTCTTAGTAGTAGTACTCCTCCTCCATGGCCCGATGCACCAAAGGCCAAAAGTCCCTCCTCAGCAAAACTGAGTGCAAATGCAGTGTCTCTTGGGAATAGCATGGGGATCTATCTTATTATATCTTAAACATGGGAAAGTGCGACCTGTCCAAAGTCACACATGTGGCAAGGCTGGACTTCATCCACAGAACGCTATTCTTTCCCTTGCATCATGCTTTCTCTACAACTCGGGAAACTCAACTCTTGCTGCTCTGGCAAATTACCACAAACCTGGTGGCTTAAATAATAAAAAAGTATTAACTTACAGTTTTAGAGGTTAGAAGTTTGACATAGGTCTCTGACTAAAATCAAGGTCTCCGCAGGACTGCGTTCCTTTCTGGAGGTGCACAAGGAAAATCTGTTTCTTGCTTTTCCAGCTTCTAGAAGCCATCTGAGTTCTTTAGCTTATGGTCCCCTTTCTTCAGCTTTAAAGCCAAAAACTGCTGGTTGAGTTTTCATGTCACATCTCAGGGACCCTTCTTCCCTCCTCTAGTCTTCTCCCGATGGCTGGCAGAGGTCCTCCATTTTGAGGACATATGTAAATAGAGATGATCAGGACGACACAAGGTCTCCTGTTAAAAGGACTTCACTTACTTACATCTACATCTTGTCAGGTGCAGTAACATACTCACAGGTTCCAGGGATTAGGGTGTGAACACTTTGGGAAGGGCATTATTCTGCCCGTACTCTGTCCATAGACAAGGTCTGTCCAGAGGTGAGAGAGCTACAGTAATGGCGATAGCCACAATCTAACTTTCAGAGTTTTAGAGAGTTCCTGATGTTGGCTGCACTTCACCAAAGCTGCTTCAGATGAGCGGCTTCCCAGTATCCTCACAGTTGGGCCCCTCCCCTTGTCTACTCTAACAACCCATTTCCTGTGAAAAGCAGTAAAGAAGTCAGGAGAGGGCAAGAAGTAGGCTTGGATATCGGTCCTCTCCGATCTCAGATGTGGCCATGGACTTAGAAAAGCAGAAATGTCTAGCCCTGGGCCTGCATCTCTTAAAAGCCCCAGAGTGTTCCTGACATTTGGTCAGTATTGGGACAGCTCAGAGAGTCCCAGGTGTCCTTTCTGATGCCCAGCCTTGAGGTCTAATGTGAATGCCAACGTTGCACAGACCTATGTGATACAAATGGGGAAAAAAGGGCAGGAAACCCCTCTCTTACTCTATTCACACAAGAGGGCTAGTAGGTAGCCTACAAGATGGAAGGGAAAGCAGAAGGTCATGAACAGATAAGTTGCCATCACCAAAAGAGCTAAAGAGGAGAAAAGTACAGACCAAGTCCAGTGAAAACACCCAAGGCCACGTGGGTATTCGGTTTAGCTCAGCCCAGCACTGCCTGGGTACCTCCTCGAGGTACCAGGGTCACATTGGCTTTCTGCCCATTGGTCCTGCTTTTGAGAGCACATGGGAAGCTCTTGCAATTTACCTGGCATTCAGGCCATGTGCAACTGTGTATTGGTTCTAAAAACTGGGTCATTACAGTTTATGGAATCTCTGCAAATAGGCCTACAATTTACTCACTCCCTGACCACAACTACCCCTGTACACCTCAGCTGCATTGTCCTCACTCAGCCCTGCCATCAGTTGCTCTGTAACTCCCACTCGTGGGCCCTTGGAGTCCCCAGGGAATCATTGGCACACACCACTGTCTGTATGTGGGGGACTCTGACAGGGTGCTCTGGGGAGGGGACTGGGCTGTTGGAAAGTTTAATCAAGTTCACTCCCTGACCACAACTACCCCTGTACACCTCAGCTGCATTGTCCTCACTCAGCCCTGCCATCAGTTGCTCTGTAACTCCCACTCGTGGGCCCTTGGAGTCCCCAGGGAATCATTGGCACACACCACTGTCTGTATGTGGGGGACTCTGACAGGGTGCTCTGGGGAGGGGACTGGGCTGTTGGAAAGTTTAATCAAGTAGGGACCGTTAACAGCTGTGGGGACACCTTAGGAAACAGTGAGCCTTGAAACGGAAATGTTTATAGAATCTGTTACCGTGACCTACAGTGACCTACTTTTCTGAAAATGGCCCGTGGTTCCCTGCCAGGACAAAAGGTAACAGCTCTCACAGGCACCCTCAGCCCATGGGGTCCCGTGCATTTCATCCTCCAGGGGGAAAGCTCTGATGTAGACACCCACTTCCCGCTGATGCCTCTGCCCAACCACACAGGAACACATACACCTACCCTTTTCAGACACATTCTCCAGGGGACGGGGCTCTTTCTGCCTCCACGGTCACTTTCTCTGGGGTGAGCTGGACCACGTGCTTTGCAGTACTCCACAGCCAGTCCATCGCAGGGCCTGCCACACACCACCAGCCACATGAACTGTTGGTGTGGTGAGGACATTTTCCTGCCCACAGTTTCTAGAGGGGTTTCTGAGTGGGCGGGTGTTGCTCAAAGGGTGTGGGTTTTTTTCTCACCTCTGTACTGTGTCTGGTCTGGGCTCCTCCCAGCTGCAGATGCAGGCCCTTTTCAGGTTCCTGTGAGGCGTCTCATCCTAGTAAATGAACATGTGGGAGCACCCCTGGGCACCACTCTTTAGCAGCCCCCTCCTTACCTGGATTCCCTGTCTTCTCCATCGGCCAGGCCCTTATCACCTATGACAGCCTCTCCGTCCTGGGCCCATGAGCAAATGGTCCTTTTACTTGGGCCTGGGTGCAAAGGGACAATGTTGAGACTTCTTATTTCTTTGGTGCTGGAGATTGAACCTATGGTATGATATTCATGCTCTACTACTGAGCTACACACCCCCAGCACCTGGGACCTTTGCAAAGAACTTTTTTTGGTTGTGTTGGTCCTGGAGATTGCATCCAGGGTCTTGTGCATGCTAGGCAATTTCTTTACCACTGAGCTATACATTCCCAGCCCTTTTTATTTTTATTTGTTTTGTAAAGACAGTGCCCTACTATGTTTCCCAGGCTGGCTTCAAACTGGCAATTCTCCTGCTTCAGCCTTCTGAGTAGCTGGGATTACAGGTGTGTGCCACCACCACCCTGGCAAGGAAAACTTTTTTTTTCCATTGTTTATTGGTACATTTATTTTTTATTTTTATTTTTTTGTTATTGGTACATTTATTTATTTTTTGTTTTTGGTACATTGAAAGCAAAAAATACAGTTACATTATCACCGGGATCTTGATATATCTTGGTTCTTATTTTTTCCTTGTACCCCTGACCTCCCTTCATCCCCTTCACCCTTCCCTATTTACAAAGACTTTGTTTCCTTTTTTCATTTTTTTTCACATTTTTTTCTTTTCCTCTATTTGCTTTAGGAAAAACTTTAACTGTCTTTGCCTCACTTCTGGCAAGGAAGCCGAAGCACTTCTTGGTCACTGTGCAGCTCTGTGCTCATGGGTCCCCTTGTTCCCTGCGGGGCGCACAAGGGTTCCTCTGAGATGCTCCAGCAGTGGCTGCCCCTTGCCCTCAGCCCTGCACAATCCTGTTCCAGAGGCTCTGATCATTGGATTCAGCTTGGATCCTCTGTGGGGGCACAGAGGATGTCCCAGGCTGGCAGTCTCAGAGTGGGAGAAGGAAGGTCTTGGCCGGCTATGGGTGTGATTATCTGGATAGCAGAGAGGAAGGGTTGGGAAGAGCTGTGAGGCAAGAGTCTGTGGTGTTTACAGGGAAATCAGTTGGTCATGTGTTCCCTGCATCCCCAAGGAGCTGCCACATCCTGAGGAAGGACATTCGAGTGAGGCCTTCTCTGTGTGGCAGTTCAGTGAAGCTAGCAGGAGGGCATCTGGGTCCACCCTAAAGCCCCCAACCTGGTGGGGGACACGGGCCTCACCTAAGCCTCCCAAATTAGGAGCCCCTTTCTGGGAATCCATGGACCTACTGGAAACCCTCAAATGACAAGAAACTAAGGGAGAAACTTGGGGAGGATTGACTGGGAGATGGTCTGGGGTCAGCTGGGCACAAAAGAGCTCCAAATACACATTGATGAACTGGCAGTCAGCAGGGAGGGAGGGCAAATTAGGGCAGATAACTAGGAGGACAGGCGTGTGGATCTCAGTATAGGGCCAGAGGGGGTCTAGAAAATTTGAAGGTGGGGGGAACACTTGCCCGGCCCCCACCCCTGTGCTCAGGATCTCAGTGTCCCTCCCCTACCCCTCTGGCTCTGACCCAGGGATGCTTCCGCTCCACTGAGCCCATCTGCTGGAGACTTACATGTTCCTCTTTTGCGTCTTGAAGTCAGAGGGCAAAGTGCAGTCACAGAGAGAGCACTGAGCCTAAGACTGAGGGACAGAGAGCAGGCAGGGGGGGCTTGGGGTGGATGAGAGGGGAGACAGGTGGGGCAAAGGTGCTGAGGACAATGGCTGATGCCATCACCTATGCAGACCTGCGGTTTGTGAAGGCTCCCCTGAAGAAAAGCGTCTCTGGCCGCTTAGGACCAGGTAAGAGGGAAGGGCCTTCCCTGATCCTATATCCCTGACCCCTTGATAGCCCATTTCTGATTCCCGCTTTGGGCTTCCTTTTCTCTGCAGATGCGGAGGCCTACGAGGACGGGGATGGGGACGGAGACCTCACCTATGAGAATGTTCAAGTGCCTACAGTCCCTGGAGGGGTGGGCTTGGCTTCCTCTGGGGTAGGGGACAGAGCAGGTAAGGGGAACCCCGGGATGTGTTTGTGGAGGGGAAGGAGGGCAGTTTGGGGGAAAGAGAAGAATGAGAACAGGATGAAAGGGAGCTGAAGGAAGAAGACAGATCTGGGCCAGGTGGAGACCCCAGTGGGTGACAGGTGCAGGGGGACCGTGTCCTGGCAGCCCTGGGGGAGATGGGTTCTGCTGGGACGAGAGAAAAGAGAGGATAAGAAACAAATGAGAGCAAGGGGGAGGGGCGGCGCCGGCAAGTAATGGCCCGGAGGAACTGATCAGGGATAAAAGATAACCAAAGGGGGAGCTGCCCAGGGACTCCAGGTGTTGCAGTGTCTGAGGGCAGGTTCAGAGGGCGACACCGGGCAGTCTGGGCCCTCAGTGTGGCGAGGAGCAGGGTGAACAGAGGGGCATCCCCCAGGGCTTCCCGTGTTCCCACAGGACGCCCGCCTTCCGCAGGGGTCAGTTCGGAGCAGAAGACTGCGTCCTGGATCTTTGCAAAGTCGCCGGCTGTCGCGCGGATTCTCTCCTGTGGGTGTCGCCTCTCCCGAGTCACGCGCGCGCTGCCCACGGCTGCCCGGCCCCGCGCCTGTATGCGGGGCGCAGGGGGCGGACTGGAGGCTCCCGCGCGGGTCCCCGCAAGGAAAGTGCTGGGCCCCCGCCATGGTGACCGGTTTCCACCCGGCTCAGCCTTATCCTAACTTGTCGGCCTAGATCACAACCCGCCCCCTTGTGGATGGTCCCCATTCACACATCCCTCTCGCTCAACCTTTTCCCTCTCTCCACGAGGTTTGGTTATTCTCCTACTGGGCAGAGTCCGTCCATCCTCCTTACCAGTTATAGTCCCCAGCCTGCTCTGAAACACCTCTAATCTCTACCTGCAAAACACCCACTACCTAACAAAACCCACAACGCTCTTTTGCTGTTCTCTGAGGGATGCTTTCCCCAGGAACCCTAACCCCCATCCCCTTGGTTTATAAAGTCTTTTCAGGGACTGACACCCATCTCTGTCCCCTAGGCCCTGCCTCCTGCTTGCAACACCTCCTACTTGGCCTGCTCCTCACCTGCCTGCTGCTAGGGGTGGCCGTTATCTGCCTGGGAGTGCGCTGTGAGTATGGCTGCCCCCGTTTCCCTCTCACACCAAATTACTCCTGGTCTGGCCCTCAAAACTGCCCTCCCTTCAACAAGGCCCATAGTCATTACCCACACATGCTTAACTTTGGGTCTGCTTCCCAGCCTGGTACATCTTAGAGTGCCCTGGCTTCCTAAATCTTCCTTACTTAGCATAGTGCCCTTTAGCTTTACACAGCCAGGTTTTATATTTCAGCTTGTTAGATTAAGTCCCAAGTAGCACAAAAGGGTCTGATGCTGCTGTCTCAGAGCACTAGGGCATAGCTGGAGGAGAAGCCCTCCAAATTTTTCTTTATGGCCAAACAGATCTGCAGGTTTCTCAGCAGCTCCAGCACATGAACAGAGTTCTGGAAGCCACTAACAGCAGCCTGAGGCAGCAGCTCCACCAAAGAATAGCTCAGCTGGGGCAGAAGGAAGAGGACCTGCAGGAGTCCAGTAAAGAGCTGGCTCAGAGTCAAGAAGCACTACAGGAGGAGCAGAGGGGTCACCAGGCTGTCAAGGAGCAGCTAAACAGCTGCCAGGCGGATAGGGAGAAGACCAAGGAGGCCTTGCAAGAGAAAGAGAAGCAGAGGGAAGCCTTGGAACTGAGGCTGAGGACCATGCACAACATACTGAAGCCCTTCTTCACATGCCCCTCAGAAGGTATCAGCTCAAAAGAGGGGAGGTGGGAAAGTTGGCCTGTGAGGGATGGAGTAAAGTAAAAAGACACAAGTGGAGGGGCTCTTTTAGCTCTGAGGCCACAGAGTCATCTGGGAAAGGGGCAAGGAACCAGGGTAGTGGTTGACCCGAGCTGTACAACCCTGGCTTCCAGGGAGAAGGATCAGGCTGCACCCTGCATTTAGGGGGCTTACCCAGCTCTAAGGCCGATCCTGGGGAGAGGAGGGTGGCAGCCAGCAGTCTACATCATATTGTCCAAAGCAGCTTGGCAAACTCAGGTTTCATCTGGTTGACATTAGTGACAAGGATCTGGGAACTACTTGGATTGGATGTGAGGTTGGTTGATTGAACATTTCTCTGAAGACAAGGGTCACAACTTTAATTCATTCTGTTTTTAAAAATTTTAAATTTAGGTCCAGGGATTTGGCTCAGTGGTTCCTCTGCCTGCCTCTCAAGTGCAAGGGCCTGAGTTCACTCCCCTGTACCAAAATTTTTTTAAAAATATATTTTTATTAGTATATATTTGTGACAAATCATGACTACATTCATCTTGGGGAACTGGTGCATTATACCTATCACGTCTTGATCATTTTACTCCCACTTCTCCCTGCCCTTCCCATTCCCTCCTCTCCCAGGTTCCTTTCCCATTTCTACAGTCTACCTCTCTATTTCCTGCCACCTCTCATTTATTTTGCTCTTTAAATTATTTATATTTTGGGCCTCTCACACCAGAGAAACCGTGTGGCATTTAATCTTCTGTGTCTGATTTATTTCACGTAGTATTGTGGTCTCCAGAGCTATTCATTTTCCTACAAATGATTCAAATTTATCTTTATGACTGAATAGTACTTCATATTAATTCATGCTATGCCCAAGATTCCCCAGAAGTTTAGTGCCACTGAAACTCTAGAGTTTAAGCAAGCTCTAGAATCTGCCAAGCTCTGCAGTGATCACTTGCTGTCTATCACAAGTGCCCCCATCCCCTACCACATCAGAGAGCAACTCCTTCAGTTTTCTACCACCAAGACTACATAGCCATTTGCATTTTTGCCCATCCCCACCCCCTGTTTTTTGAGACAAGGTCTCATTCTGTAGTGAGTTCAATCTTGAACTCATTGTGTACCTCAGGCCGGCCTTGAACTTGTGGCAGTACTCCTGTCTCAGCCTCTGGGGTTCTGGGATTATGGGTGTGTACCATCATGCCCAGATCATTTTATTTTTTATAAAGATAACTGCAATTGCTTTTTGGTTGTATCTTTCTCTGGTTTGGGAATCAGAGTGATACTTGCTTCCAGGAATGAATTTGGAAGTATAGCTTCTCTTTCAATTTCATTGAAAAGTTTGAAGAGTAATGGTAGTAGTTCTTCTCTAAATGTCTTGTAAAATTCAGCAGTGAATCCATCAGGGCCTGGGCTTTTCTTTGTTGGTAAGTTTTTAATTACATTTTCA